ATAAGACTACATATACATATACATATGTATGTACTGAAAGATATTCATCTATATAAAATTCAAGCTAAAGTATGCAAATTTTTTGTGTTCTTTCAATTATATGTAAATAGTTTTGTACCTGAATTAGAAAATATAAATTTAAAAATATTTTCATTTGCAATGAAAGTTTTTAGCCACGTTGTTTAGCCAAAAGCTAAAATTTTTAGCCATTTTTAGCCACTTTTAAAATCGAATCTGGCCACCACTAACAATTGTCAGCGGCAACACTGGTGCCGACGTAGAGTCTACGTGCGTAACTGGCTAACCTAATATTCACGCACGCCGCCAATTTGTTGTCAAAAATTTCTCATGCACATGCAACTTGTATGAGATCAACCGAAATTGAACGGCGTGCGTATGAAGCTAACTCAATTTCCAATTTTTGTTCTGCGCGACATTTTGATTTGACGTTTCGCTCAATGAAATCAAATGCAAACGCATGCAAGTCAATTTCGGGTGACGCAAAAAAAAAACAAATTCGACGGCATGCGTACCAAAACGCAAGCCGCGAATATTAGGTTAGCCTGTAAATATGTCAGCACATAGAATTCAAGCGACGGGTTGGAGTCAAATCGATGTGATTTTGTTTTCGTTTTCTTCGCTATTCTCGTCGCTTTGCCGGCCGCTCATATGTGTGTATGTTTGTACGAGTGTTAAGCTACAATGCAAAAACGCAACTAGGTGCTCCATGCACTCATGTAAAGAGTATCCCTAAAAGCCTGATTATGGCAGTTTAACTTAACTTAACGGAACGTAGAACTTAGAGAATCAAAATGAAACAAATTTCGACGTGGCATTAAGTTACGTTAAATTTCGGCCGTTCAATTATAAGCAACCTACATTTAACAGAATTTTTAAGTGAGAGCCGTAAGTTACGTTAAAGCAGTGTTTGCATTATTCAACTTTGCGTTCAACAATTGCGTTCAACTCAACGCAGGGTTGCACGAAAAAAAAGTTGAATGGCTAAATGTTGGCTGGCGACCAACTTTGTTGAAAGCGATTAGTTGAAAGGCCATTCAACCAAAAGTTGAATGCAAAGTTGAACAATGCAAACACCTTTTTATGGCGAATATTTTGATATTTTTTCATATTTTGATATTTTTAGCCATTCAACTTTTTTTTCGTGCAACCCTGCGCTGAGTTGAACGCAAATGTTGAACGCAAAGTTGAACAATGCAAACACACTTTAAGATGCCATAATCAGACCATAAGGTTCATCAAGGAGTACCCACAATTAACCAATATGCATATCGTCACTTGAAATGCAAAAAGATGTAACATCATCTTAAATGAACAGGAAAAAATCGTGACTAATATTTTATTTATTTTTTCATATAATGATGTGGGGAGTTGTAATTCGATGAAATCCATCATAAAATCAAAAAGTGAATTTTAAATTTTTTACTAGTTATGACTTTTTGCATTTCAACGATGATGTTTGTTACGTCCATTTGCATTTCAGGTGACGATATAAAAATGTCCAATTAACATTGCGATGTCCTAGGGCAGGACCATATACTCCAGCTCTGCATTAGAGACACGAGTTGGGCCACTACTGCAATATGGTACAAATGGACCACATTGTTCAACGATTTTTGCAGAATGGCCAATAAGCTGATAAAAGTTCGTGTGTTGTGTGCTCATTAATGGCTGGAATTCTCTGATTCTCCCAAATCTGGCGAACAAATCATAAGAAAAGCAGCGGCATCAATACAAGACAACAATATTTCTCCACTGGTGGTACCAATAGATCGCAGGACATCCTCGATAGCCTGATAGAACCGTAATGGTAAAGCGTGACCATTTTCCTCTTGTCTCTGCGTGTGCGATAACGAGGTCATTTGGTGAGATCGTATACGCTCCACAGCTAAATCTCGTTTCAAAAATAAAATAAATAAATAAAAGTATAGAAAATTGTGTCATGGTCGGAGAGCAACAGTATGCACAACTGAGTTGCAAGCTGAATTTCAAAGGCTGCATCTGAATCGACTTGAAACAATTGAACAATTATTATAAATATGATGTTATAATGCAAGCAAGGGGTTGATACTGTTTATCTTCAATTGCTAAAGTTTACGCGTTCACGTACAGGATCTTCAATTAGTCAGAATAGCATCATCGTCGAATTTTCTAATTCTTTTAGAGACGTGGGTGGATAATGAGAGAGCTTTAGAGATTCCTAATATTGATACAGTAATTCAATTTAAAAGCCCAATGACGAGAGCAGGCGGAGCTGTAATAAACCATAACCACATGATGGAGCTCGTATAGTTCTCCACAAATAGAACTCAATTCACAAAAACTGGAATCAATGTCTTTTCTTATTTGCTTTTGAAAGCAGGTTGGACCATGAGAGAACAGTAATATTTGTGGCAATTTATAATTCTCTCAATCAACCAGTAACTAAAATTATTGAATTAATCCACGAGAGTTTAATAAAACACACACCAGAAGACTACAATAAAATTCCGATGATTTTATGAAGGTTTTACTTTTACCGGGAGTGCACAGTACACACATGTTTTTTTTTTTGCTCGCAAAACCAATTTGAGCGTACGGATTTTTCACAGACCACTTTTTGTTCATGTACGGATTTTAGACTCTAAACGTCTGGCAGCCCTGGATTGAAGCCCTCCGTCAAAGAACTGATTTCGCCTTACCAGTGTGGCTTCAGATCTGCCAAATCCACCATAGATCTCATATTCGAAATACGCCAAATCTTGGAAAAGACCCGCGAGAATAGGATCGACACATGCCTTCTGTTTGTCGATTTCAAAGCCGCTTTCGACAGCACGAAAAGAAGTTGTCTTTATTTTGTGATGTCTCAATTTCGTATCCCCGCGAAACTAATACGGCTGTGTAAAATGACGTTGAGCAATACCACCAGCTCAGTCAGAATTGAGGAGGACCTCTCCGATCAGTTTGATACCAGTCGAGGTTTGAGAAAAGGTGACTCCCTTTCGTGTGATATCTTTAATCTGATGTTGGAGAAGATAATAAGACAGAACTGAACCGCTCAGGCACAATACTTTACAAGAGCGTGCAATTACTGGCGGATGCCGACGACATCGACATTATTGTTACAAATAAGGGCTACGTCTGTTCTGCCTTCTAGGAATTTGATAGAGAAGCAAAGCGTGTGGGTCTGGTGGTGAACGAGGGCAAAACGAAGTATCTCCTGTCATCACGCAAACAGTCAGCGCATTCGCGCCTTGGCACTCGCGTCTATTTTTACAGTTATAATTTCGAGAAAGTGGAGAATTTCCTTTAATTTCCGAAATTCAACGCAGAATCACTCTTGCCATCAAGTGCTACTTCGGACTAAATAGGCAATTGAGAAGTAAAGTCCTCTAGCCGTACAAAAATCTTACTCTATAAGTCACTCACCATGCCTGTGCTGGTTTATGGTGCGGACGCATGGACAATGAAAACATGTGATGAGGCGCCTCTTACAGTTTTCGAGAGATAGGCCTTTACGCATTGGCGACGGCAAGTACCGCAGACGATGGAACGTGAGCTGTATGAGCTTTACAATGACATGGACATAGTGCAGCGAATCAAAATACAACGGCTACGCTGGCATGGTCATATCGTACGAATGGACAGAAATGCTCCAGCTCTAAAAGTATTCAACGCGGGTCGCGATGGTGGAAGAGGAAGGCCCACTTCGATGGAAGGACCAAGTGGATAAGGACTTGGCATTTCCAAATAGGCGTCAGTTTGCACAAAATCGCGTAGGCGGTTATCGCGCGAAATAAGAAGAATAAGAAAAACTTTGTGCGTCCCAGATGCATTTGCTCAAACGAGGCATGGTCTAGACCCATCAGCAATGTATGTCTTGTCCGGCAAAAAATTCAGTTGGTTATTTTTATGTAACTTGCGGGCTTTAGCTTTCACAAATTGGACAGATATGGGAACATTTTACTTTCTCTTAAAACAAAACCACTTGTGTAAATCCTTTTTGGGTACTCGCACTGTTTTAAAGTTTTCCGTTTCTGAAGTCCGGCTTCTAAATTTTTTATCTTTACTTTTGCTTTCATTGTTTACTTTAAACTCAGCGCATATCACTTTAACGGAAAGACCCCTTTTTGGTTTTTCCAGAATACTGGAAAGTCAAAGAAAGGCAAAAATTCAAATTTTGTGTGTGGCATGCATTAATAAAGAATGTTGTAGGTATTGAGCTTGAATTGTTTTGAAGTTGCACTTATAAAGGTTACAATGTCTTGCTTTAAAAACTTGCATTAATCAAGGAATTGCACATTTTGATGGTTGCGGTTACCGTGTATGCACTGTAAATATTTTTCATCGGATAAACACTAATTAAGTTACGAACAATTATAAGGCTCAAACTAAGACAAACGTGTTTTTAGATCTTAAGCCCAGATTTGAGGGGGTATTCAAAATTCTAAGTATGTATGTTTTTTGTTCTTCACTGGATCTAATTTTAGCAGTCACAGTGTTATAATTCGGATGAAATACTTGACAGTGGTACCGGGAGGGGAACGGTAAATGACGGTAGGAGGTTTAATTTGGGTTAAAGTCTCACACTGACGGGGTTAGGCCGAGGCCACGCAATGAGCGGCAAAGCGGCGAGCTGCTGAGCGGTGAGCGGCATTTCCGTATGGCGCCGCTCGGCCGCTCACCGCCCACCGCTCAGCCGCTCATGGCGTGGCCTCGGCCTTAGGCTTTCCATGCTTCCTCCTCGTAAAAAATCATGCGCAGTAAAGAGTTAACTATTTAAATTTACGAATAGTTTTATATCAACTTTTGTGAACTTCTGTTTATGTGTTTTAGTTCAATGTACCTCTGTTGGTTAAGCTACAATAAACAATTTTTTAGTAAGTACCTAATAGTTATTGGTTTTGAATTTTTTTTATGATTAATTTTTTTTTTTAATTAATTCTCTATATTATTACACTTGCCTTATACATACGTATGTACATCTTGTTTTAATAAAACAATTTTTAACCCTCATACTTTCGTACTTTGCACTTTATTAGATTTTAATAAAACCTATACTCAGAAATGCTTGATAAGTTTTATTGCTGGAACCGCTTTGTTTCGTTGTAATACATCAGCTTTGAAAGAATTCTTCAGCTCTTTAGGCAGAAAAATGGATCCATTTTTAATCTATAAAATTATAAAGAGTTAGCGAAGAAACAATCTAAATAGTCCAGTTACCTTGTTAGACTCAATTACGGCTATAAGCAACCGGGGTATAGCAGCTGCAGTCCCATTAACTGTGTGTGCGTACTTTAGCTCTCCATTTATCGTTCGATATCTAATATTGAGACGTTTTGCTTGATAGTCAGTGCAGTTGCTACAGCTTGAGATTTCACCCCACATTTGTCTGCCTGGCAACCAAGCCTCAATATCATATTTTTGGAATGCTGAAGCACCCAACTCCGTAGGAGGCATGTCAAGAACTCTAAAACTTAAATTGAACTGCTTAAATAAAGAAATTTCTGTCTCCTTGAAACTCTCCAGCACAGGTTCTGATTGGTTTTCTGTACATACTGCAAACATCTCCACTTTATTGAATTGATGAACCCTAAATGAGAGCAATCAAAAAATTTTCACTTACATTAAATTAGTGTTTTTATATAAACTTTAAAGGCTATCAGCATAATAAGAAAGGCGTTAATGAGATAAATTGTAAAACCTCTAGAACAGTGGCGTGCCTAAATGATTCAATCGAGGCAAGCCCAAGTCAATATAACCTTAGGAATAAAAGAACTAAATAAATAAAGTCAAGTTTATTTTAATACTAGCCGGTCTCGTATGCCACGCGCTAAATGTGCAGATTTTAAATAAGGTGTGATTGGCAACTACGCTGGTTGTAATCCTACTAAAAAGATAATATATAATTGCGCATCTGGAGGCCAAGTCATTTTATTTGACACCTCATTTCCAGTAATCTAACGAACAGCCCACATTGTTTTAATTTTTCGCACAGGTTGCAACCCTCTCCGTAAAATAAAACTTTACTGCAAATTGGGAAATTGAAAAAATCGTCGTATCGATAATATCGGTGTATCGCACTAAAAAAAAAATATTTGAAGTTTCACAATCACATTTAAGAATCCTTGTTCAATAATAGTTAAAAGAAATAAGAATAACTTACAGTATTATTTATTTTGCATTTTCCAAATGTGAAAGATCTGTTGGCAGACATACATTCGTACATGTAAACATTTTACCTGTAAGACTTCCAACAATTAAAAAATTTAACTATCAGTATTTTAATAAAAAAAAACTTACAGTCAGTCAATTAAGTTTAGGTATAGCGAATTTTGTACAATACGGGCAACTATTTTTTAAATATTTTATTTTTCGCAAATTTTTTATAAAAATATGGTTAATTCCACAATAAAAATCCCAAAAATCAGAGTTTCAAACCTTTTGCAAAAGTAAAGAGAATTCTGCAAATTTTCATCCAAATATTGCCCTTCTTATTTACACTCTTTAGAAAAAAGTTGAGTACGCAGTTTTTTAGCCCATACAATTTTAGTATAACAGAGTGCAAGTTTGAGGTAGCTAGGACTTACCACTGATTTTTAGAATTAGAAGGTGTCGCTCATTTTCTCCATATAAAATAATGTTTGATAATTTTTTTATATGGAAAAACTGTGCGACACCTTCAACAAAAAAATTTTCCAAAAATCAATGGTAAGTCCTAGCTCCCTCATACTTGCACTTTATTAAATTTGAAGGGGCTAAACAACTTCATACTCAACTTTTTTCTAAAGAGCGTAAATAAAAAGTGCATTATTTGAATGAAATTTTGCAGAATTTTCTTTAATTTTGCACAAGGTTTGGAACTCTGATTTTTGGGGTTTTTGTTGTTGAATTAACCATATTTTTATAAAAAAATGAGCGAAAAATAAAATATTTAAAAAATAGTTGCCCGTATTGAGAAGCTTCGCTGTACCTAAACTTTATTGACTGACTGTAGGTAATGTTTTCAAACATGATGTATTTAAGGCCACTTTTTGTAATATATATAAGGATATGTATTCATTCATTAATACATATGTATATTAAGCAATTACGCAGATTAACTCACATAAATATATTAAAGTTTGTTGAACTGATGTAAAAAATTAACCATATAAATATAATAAGTATAGTTATGGTGTAAGCTAAAGCATATAACTATTGTTACGATTATCTTTGTTTAATTGACGGATTTCCCAAAATCCTTTCGATTCGTATCGCTGGAATGTTAAATAAATACTCACGATGACCAAATTACAGTAAAATTAACTTTATTGTGCAACAAACACTTTACAATACTTGTTTACTGTGGTTTACTTGTCGGCCGCTGTGGTGTAGTGGTAAGCAGTGCGCGCTTCTACTCCACAATGCCTGGGTTCAAACCCTGGTCAAAGCAACATCGCAAAAATATAGAAAAAAAGGTTTTTTCTTAACAGCGGTCGTCCCTCGGCAGGCAATGGGAAACCTCCGAGTGTATTTCTGCCACGAAAAACAGCTTCTCATAAAAATACAATCGCCGTTCGGAGTCTGCGTAAAACTGTAGGTCCCTCCGCTTTGTGTGACAACATCAAGGCGCACGCCACAAATCGGAGGAGAAGCTCGGCCAAACACTAACATATGTGTAAGCGCCAATCTATTATTATTATTAACAACAATACAATACTTGTTAAGGCAATTAAAACACTTTACAAAACTTGTTAACACAACTGAACTTTCTGCCATTTTCATGTTGTTCGCTTCGCGTTGCCGCAGTATTCGCCACACTATGTTTTCTGGTAACAAGGCGATATTTGTGCATAAAATATTGATATTATCGTCCTCAAAAATATCGTGCCGAAATATTTAGTGTCGGAAGCAAAAAATATCGTCAATATCGATATATCGATATAATATCAACTATTCTACTGCAAATATGAAGGCCAAGCTTTTTCATTCGACACTTCTTTTTTTTTAATTGAATGAACTGTGCAAATCTAATGTCATTAACAGAAGATGCCCTCGCGTATTATACATACATAATTTTTAAATAGGTGGCAACCCCACTAAAACACTTGCAGAGACCATATGCTTTCACTTGGCACCCCAGTTTTTAGTCCAACGGTGAGGATCTTATAATTTTTAAAAAGTGGCAACCCTACTCAAAAAGTAAGACATTATTGAATACATTTCTAGTAATCCAACAAACAGTGCGGATCTTATAATTTTTTAGACAGGAATTATAGGAGTTTAAAGGACTAAAGATAATATTCCTATCAATACAGATTATACCTAAAAAATCTCGTCTAAATCCGTTCAGTAGGTGGCAACCCTATTAAAAAAATAAAGCTTTTGTACATGCGTAGGCCATGCCCTTTCTTTTGGTATCTCATTTTGCAATCCAACGAACGACGACAATCGTTTAACTTTCTAATAGATGGCAACCCTACTCAGAAAAATAATACATTATTGAACATGTAGAGGCTAAGTTTTTTCGTTTGACAGTGACGGTGCAGAGCTGATGCCTGCCCTATTATGATTGAATATAATAATTTTACTAACAGGTGGAAACCCTATTCAAAAAACTAAAACATTAGCGCTTTTCTAGAAGCCAATCCCTTTCATTTGACACCTCATCTTTTGTTATCCAACGAACGGTGCGGATCTTATAGTTTTTTAGACAGGTGGCAACCCTTCCAAAAAATAAAAAATAAATAAAACTTGAATCTTGCGGTGTAAGCAGGGTTGCCACTTTGGTTAATTATTACCAAAATTGGTAGAAAAAATTTGGGTTGGTAAAAAGGTACATTTTTTTCTCATTTTGGTAGATTTTTGGTAAAGTATTTGGATTTAAAAACAAATTAAATTTTAGTTCCCGCTTTATTTTTTGTAGTTGTCTTTATATTATCAAATAAAACACCTCTTTGAGGTAAAATTTTCGAGTGACGAAAGCTGAACTAGAAACACAAAATTTATGATATAAATTTTGTGACGAAAATTATACTAATTTTTTAACTGCCTTGGAAACGTACGAAAAATCTTTTTTATTCATACGATTCATTGCAAAAGTTCTGTTTTTTATTTTGTGTTTCTAGCAGTAGACGGAACTTCGCAACGTTCCGAATAAATAAAAAAAGATTTTCCGTACGTTTCCAAGGCACTTAAAAAATTAGTATACTTTTCGTCACGAAATTTAGATCATAAATTTTGTGTTTCTAGTTCAGCTTTCGTCACTCGAGAATTTTACCTCAAAGAGGTGTTTTATTTGATATCAATTATTTTGGGGTAGCACATTTAAAATCGAAGGAAATACAAACAATGTAAATGTTTTATTTTTCTCAAATAAATTCTAAATTATGCATTCAAATCGATGTGTCCATTGAAACATATAATTTTTCAAATACGGAATAAAGCGAAAAGAATGATCATATCCTTTGTATAAAAAAAATTAAAAAAAAAAAATTATGAGAGATTGTTGGCGCAACACATTAACTCTTAGAATTGTTTAACATTTTGTGTA